AACTCTTCAGCATTTTACAACAGTGTAGTATGAAAAAAGTTGCTAAAAAAGCTGTTCTTTGCAAGCTCACTATTGAGAATTTTTTATACTAGAAAAATATTCTAAGCTGTGATTCTGTTATTTTGTAGGTTTTTTGAGTAGTAAGTTTTCAATATATAAAGAACTGGACATATTAATGCAATTTTAGCTGCTTTATTTTGGTAGAAGCTACAATTTTGAAAAAAACACTTCAATAACACATTTCCTACCTGGTAAAAAAGACAGTCATCTTAAATTTGTAGGCAAGTTGGCTATGGGTGCAAGAAGATGGCATCCTATAACTGACATAACTGCTAGCAAACTTCCCCATACAGACTGCTAGCAGAAGGTGGTTTCTGCCAGCAATGCTGCTGCTATTCAGGGAAGCTGATACCGTTTTAGTAGTAAAAAAATTCCTTTTGCTGGCAGAGTAGTAAATGCATGTGTGGTGGTGGGGGGAGGAGTGGTCTTTGCTACTGTAAGAGCTGTAGTCATTGATCTGGTTTCACATAGGGATCCCAGTGAGTTAATTGAAGGGTCTCAGTGCCTTTGAAAAAATGTATCTTTCTAGCAATGAGAATGCAAAGTAAATTTGCAGCTTCATTTTAATTGTCTTATTTTGTTTCATCACACAAGTTTGTTTGTGTTTTTTGGCAAGATTTTCCTTTTATCATGGACTTGGAACTTGCCACTGTAAGAGTGAAATACTGGCTCTCTTGAAGTTAGCGGGAGTTTTGCCACTGATTTCAGTGAATCTGAGACTTTATCCAAGGTCTCAGATCAAAGTAACTGGGTTTGGAAAGTTTTTGCACAAAATACATTCAATTGTATCTGAGTTGCACAATGCAAAATAAATGCTTTCTTCTTTTAAAAATACAAGGTATTAAGAGCCTCTTCTTCTTCTTTCTTTCTCTTTTTTGTACACTGTTATTTCAATGGCAGAACTGTAAAGCTTATTTATATTTGGCTAAAAATGGGTAGCCATGAGATCAATTCTTAGCTGAGGGGGAACCGGTGAGGGACAACACAAGTGATGCAGTACTGTGAAATTAAAAAGGGAAAAAAAAGCTCTCTTTGTAAAATTAATGTTGTTTTTGCACGCAGCAAGGGCATAATTATTATTAAGCAAGTAAAGTAATTGAATAAACGGTATGTGCAACTTTTACCAATTAAGGCAAGAGTTCTCAAAATGTGAGTCGTGACCCTCTGGGGGGGTCGCAAGCAACTTTAAAAGGGGGCCGCAAACTTCCTAGGGGATATGCACAGTAGTGCAGGGAAGTGGCACGCAACAGCAGTGCGAAGTGATGGATGGTAACAGCGGCTGCCGCGTGTGAGCTCCCTGTCCCCTGCTGCCGCCATCCAGCACTTGGGGGCCATGGTATCACAAAGTTTGAGAACCCCTGAATTAAGGTTTTTATTGCAATAATTTTTACTTTTCCTGACTTAGTTATAATTTAAAGTTGCAAGATGGATGTAGCATATTTTTACTTTTAATAAATGTAATTGTTTCATTTACATTTCATTTGATGGCATAACTAACATTTGTCCTTTTTAATATGCTTATCTTCTTGCTTTTTAGGTAAGCTTCTGGGTTGTTAGAGAGATTCTTCATGCACAAACTTTAAAAATAAGAGCTGAGGTTCTGAGCCACTATATTAAAACTGCTAAGGTAAGAAAGATTGTTTGTTTTGGGACTTACCAAGATGAAACTTCTTATACCTGAGTTCACCCATTCAAAATGCATGTGTATAAATATTTGTCTGACACTTCATTTGGCTGTAGTTGTGTCTTGACATGAATTGGTGTTTGGCTTCATCAATGCGACATCAGCAGAAAGGGTGGCAGTCCAGAACTCCAGAATTAGAATCACATTCCTTAAAAATGTTCTCTTAACTTTGAAAATAACATTTCTCATAGTGTTTCCTCATTTTTTTTTTCTTTAAATATAATTTATTACTCCTTATATAGTACAACCTGGGTTAAAATCTTTCACTGCTTGCAGGTTTTATATGTTTAGATTTGTTCTGGTGGCTGCCATTTAAAATATTTTATGATTTTTTTTCTGCTAAAAGAAAGGTCTTTAGACCTTTAGCAGTAGTCTTATGACTATTATCAATTAGTATCAATTTAATATGAAATATTCACGTTTGGGGGTAATACAATTTCAAAAATACTTCTCGATTCAAGATGCAAATCAGGCAGCTTATAGCCACGTTTCACTTATGCTATTATATTAATGATACTTTCAGTACATGAGTTAAACATCCATGGAAATACCCTGTTGTCACCTCTATTTGTGCTGTTTCATGCCACAAAGAAATGTGGAGCGTCCATGTATGTGCCTCGTGTGTCCCTGTACATGAGGCAGAGTTCAGTCCTCCTTTGAAATGTTTGTCCATGGGCACATTCCACTGGTGGGGTGTGTACATTCTATACACTTGAGCTCAGAGTGAGCATTACCTGTAGAGCGCATACATACCCTGTTCCTTGTGCTATGCACTGAGGACATACAGATCAGCATGCATTTCACGATCCATAGGACCTCTAGCTAGCTTTGGCCTGAGACAACTTTCTGTGCAGGATATGGTATTTGGCCCTACAGCCACTTTCCAACTTATTCTGGAGTTATGGATGAATAAATAAATCTAAGTAACTTACTAGGGCATTATGTGTAATGTGTATTCGTGATTTCATGTTTTACACAGAAACCACGAAAAAGTGGTTTCTGTGAACCCCACAGAATGGAGATCTACCTGCGATTTTTGGCAAGCAATTGCCGGGGAGGGGTAACTTACTCGAAATAAAATGCTGGCTCCCTCCCCTCCACCCTGGAGCACGTGTATAGACCCCCTTAGTGCTTCCAGAGTTGCTCTTCTGCTTATCTTACTGTAAAAACATAAAACTCCACCTAAGTTTTGATCTAGCAATTACATTTTCACTATGCTGTTTCTAGCTCAGATTTTTGCTAAAGTAGATTCCAAGGTATTTAAAAAAAATACCTCAGGTTTTTTTCCTGGAGGGGGGGAAAAAAAAAAAAATCTTGTTTCCCCCTTTCATCTTCATAAACCAATACTTTCTAAGCTGTTTGAGGTGCAGTACTGTTGAAAGGCACCTAATAACCTTTGGAGACCTATTTGAGATTGTGACAGTATCACTGTGTCATCTTTATATAAAGCAGAAGGAGAGGATCTTTCAAAATCATGAATGTGTGAAATTGATTCCCTGTTGGCACCTGTTTTATTTCATAGTTTCATAGTAGCTAGGGTCAGGAGGGACCTGAACAGATCATCTAGCCTGACCCCCTGCCACAGGCAGGAATAAATGCTGGGTTCACAAGACCCCCTATCATTCAAGAATAAGTTGAAAAGTAGTGAAGCAAGTGGACATCCTTGTCGTACCCATCTAAGCTGAGAAACTCTTGGACAGGGTGCCATGAATCTTGTAACGTACCCTAGATGCTGTTTTTGAATAGTAAGTGGTAATAATTGTAAGAGAGCTTTGTCCATTGATATTACTGAAAGTTTCTTCCATAGTTTGAATCTGACTATGTAGTCAAAAGCTCCCTTTGAGCCTTGAATGGTAATTGTCAAGGATGGATATTTAAGTAGTTCTGGCAATAGATTTTTAGTGTGTGTGTGAGAGACAGTGAGAGGAGTGACCATATGTTGAAGTCGCTTCAGTTTAAAGTTGAGAAGATTGATTTATTATTTGCTTGAAGACAAAGGACTCAGGATTCTTTGACATGCATATCCTGTTGCCAACCAGGGAGATATATGCGAGTGTTTCCTGATAGTGTTTTTCTGCTTAATACTTAAGGTGTACATTTGACAGTCAAGATATTAGTGCTTGCTGAAGCTAGCTTTAGGAACACAAGAGATTTTAAATTAAGGTGTGGGAAACTGGATCAGATCCATAATTCAGCAGAGTAAGAACCATGATGAGTTGATTTTGTGGGGTCTGAATTGTAGGAGATATGAGACTTGTTTTGTAATTGGCAAAAAAATGAAATGTCAGTTTCTTCTGGGAATAGTAGGCAGAGGTGGTATGTTTAGTTCACAAATCAGTTTTAAAATGTTAATGACAAGTTAATTGTGGACCATCAATTGATGGTGATTTATGGATGGTAGAGCAAGAAGTTAGAAGATATGAATCAAAATATGATGGTCTCTTTCCTCAGTAGGGTCTCTAATATTTGAAATGAGTTTATCAACAATAATGAGAGTGGCTGTATTCAGTCTGGATAGATTGACAGTGAAATGGATAAAGGTAGAAATGGATGATCAGGAGTTAAATGTGGTGGATAACGGCACAAAGGAAGTGTAGGGTCTCTCATAGTGAGTCTTCATTCAAGAGCATATGTATTGCAGGATTTAGCATACAGGTTAGTAAAGGACTGCATCCTTGGTCACTAGAAATTTAAGGAAACCTACTTGCATGTCTTAAAATGACTGCCAAAGCTTAAGTTAACAGTTTGAATGTTTTTGAGTTGACCATCTGGAAAATTAGATAGGGTTGTTGAAGTGGAGAATTCCATTCTTTAGTGGGGTGCTGGTCACTGATAGGAATATGGCTTGACAAATTTTGCTGCAAATGTCTTGTTGGATTGTAGGTACATGTTCAGCATATTGAAGGCAAAAATTCAAAGTCTGAGGGACATTCTTGAGACCAGATTTTTCTTCAAGGTATTCAGCAAAATTTTCAGTTCAAAATTGGATTGGGTTACTCTTTTAACAGCAGTGATGCCAAATTAAATAGGTTAATTATAAACCTTTCTTTGGCTTGGCTGGTTGGACACATTTGTGACTAATTCAGGAAAAGTAAACAGCATTTGTTCAGGAAAACCTTTTTGTTGCTATCAAGTGTATCTGGTAAAGGAACATTAGGACCTTGATCTGATCATAGTTGTGGTGGTGAGACATGTATCTGGGCTTTGTTTGAGAGTGTTAGCTGTGAATGCATTGGCACTTTCTACTCCTATAGGTAGGAATGAATGAGGAGTGTTGTGTGCTAAAAGTAGGTTTTGTTCCTTCTGTGCAGGACAAGAGCTTAATCAAGACATGTGACCTCATATAACAGATAAAACTGGGTGTAGTTCAGATAGATGCCATGTCTTTGCAGAGCTTCTATATAGCTAGCTCATGATGGCCTCCAGAACTACAGTGAACAATTAGTTAGGTTAGCTTGTCTAATGCACTGTTTCTTTACATTAATGATCAAAACAAGCCAATTATTGAGTTTTGTTGACAAAGCATGGATTCTGCTGTGTGGATAAACTGGTTCTTCTAAATGGAAGCACTACTGAAATAAAGCTAAAACACTGGTGTCAGGAGAATTGGTAAAGGTACTGCAAAGATGTCTGTCTTGCACTGTTGTCATTTGGATGCGCGTATGGCTGTGCATCCCAAATTTAGTTGTAGATATTATATAGGAGTTTCAAAGAAATTGAGACAACTCTGAGGTCCTTGTCTTCCCAAATATTTTAAAGAGATCCACTGCTTTTATAATAAAGGAATTGTACTTTCAAGCATTTGGGGGGCCTGATCAGTTTAAAAAGAGGCGCTGTGAAAGTTTTTTCCTTATGCAGACATGTTGAAAAAAACATAAGGAAGAGAGAAATAGATGCCATCTGTAGCTGCTGAGTCTATAGCCCTGTTGGCATCAAATTAGCTAGTTTAACAAGATGCTCAGGAGTTTTATTCCCCCTTCTGGTTACTATATGGAGACTTTGTATTTTCTTTTGTTTTGTGTTTTAGAATGACAAATATACCAATAGGTACTGAAAATAATCTGGAAAGGATATTTTATCAATTTATTACTGTAGTCCTAATTATCAACTTGGACCCCATTTTGCTAGATTTTCTGTTAACATAGAATAAGAAGGATTATCATGTCTCCAAGCAGGGTATAAACTAATTTTAAAGTAAGTGGTAACAAATGCATGGAGGTACAAGGAAACAATGAGACAAGATCCAGTCAGCATGATAGGGTGTGATAACAGCATACAAGTGACCAAGCTAGTAAGGTTTTTGTTAGCATCACAGGAAAAGAGTTAAAGGAGGGATTTGGAAGATAACAAAATAGCTTGCATAAGTTTTGGATACTCCACCTAACAGCAGAGGCCTGCATGGGGAAAAAGCACAAAGGTACTTGTTAACAGTTTCAAATATGTGAGTAATCCTGTTTCAGCAATGTTGAATTTGAGGTGGAGGCTGATAATTGACAAAAAGATTTGCAGAGAGGTTTGAGATTTTAATTTGGACAGGAGATAAGTCTGGAGAAGAGGACCACCCAAGCGTCTCTACTTTGTTAGTGATCTTCTACAGTGAAGTGGACCCTAGTAGAAGTTTGTTGCCCTATTAGTGATAAACACGTAGGTTTAATTCCATTCTCTGATGATCCTTCATTTACAACCTTCAGCAAAAACACTACCATACACTTGTTAAATTCCTGGTACCCTCCATTTTGGGGACAAAAGTTTGGTCATAGGCATGTGATTTAACAGCTAATCTAGATAATCTGGGTGAAGTGGGACTGGACTTGGTTCCACAGCAGCAACTCTTTTTTTTTTACTGACACTACTTTTAAATCCAAACTGTTGCGCTGATGCCATTAGGTGAGATACCCATATAACAGCAGTCGGTGGAGCTTTGGGCAGTGTTGGACATCAAA